CTCTTTGTGGAGGTGTGCCTAAGTCATAGTGTTAGGACCCTGGTTTGAAACTCCTCATAGTTTAGGCATGTCCTAACCAGGTTTTAGTCTGGCTCAGTAGCTCCAGATACAGGGGCTTCCTAGAATGCTCAGTTCTTCAACTGGATTTTCTTAGAAGTTTTACTATTGGTTTCTGGCCCTTCTCTAGTTCACTGTATCTTGCTGCTGCTGCAGGTATCAAGCCCTGTCTCTGTAACCCTGCCCTGTGATTGTTGGGATGTTTTGTGGATGCGACGTGATGTCTCACAGCATGAAACGTGGGTAGAATTGGAGCTTGTGGAAGCTTGAAAATTCCCATCCTATCGACATCCCCTTTTGTTTTAGACAGTGCTTCATTCTGTGTCCTAGAAGGCATTGCAGCCCTCACTGAAGGCCTTTCCAATGAGACCCTCATTCTTTTGCTAACGTGTCAGGCTGAGGGTAGGAAGGAAAACTAAATAAAGAATTGTGTGGCCTTTCTTCTGTCCTGTGGCAGTGAAAATTAAAGGTAAAGGAACTCCAGGCTTGCCTGTTTGCAAATGCCTTACAAAGTCACTTCAGGAACATCTAGTAAAAGAAGCATTCAGATCCTTACAGTGTTAAAGAAAGGAAAATGTTAGAGGAGCACCCATCCTTATCTGGCTCATAGCAGGTGTTTTCACCTACCCCAGCTGCCCAAGTTACAGTTCTTAGTGCTGGAATTGTTTGCATGGGGCTCAAGTTACTGTACCTTGAAAAAGCCATAAAACAGCTCAAATCCAACTCCTCTGAAGTTCTGAATTCAATGCTCTGGCAGCTGTACACATGGAAGGACAGTGGATGGATGCAAATTGTAGAAGGGAGGTGGAATTAAACCCTTTCTACAATAACTGTGTTCATGGATCATCTTGAATGGAAAAATGAGATGAGACACAACATGAGATTACCAAAGGTAGAGCATGCCAGACTAACCTGGCATCTTTCTTTAGTAAAACAGCTAATTTTGTAGTCAAAGAAAATGCACACATTCATCCATGACCGTGCCCTCATACAGACCATAGCCATAAAGTACCCTATGGTAAAACCTCTGTAGCATACCACAGATAAAGAATAGGAAGGTCAAGGGCATGATCAGTGTCAGGCTGCTATGGTGCTGGGGAACTTGCTGTCTATGCTCAAATGATCCAAGAAAGAGAACCATACTGCAGAAAGATGGAAGTCTGTGATCCTTTACAATCTGACCTAGAGAGAAAACAGTTCCTTTCTAACCCCAAATCTGGAGTGAGAGCATACCTGGATAGTCTGACTTCTGAGGTTCAAGGCAAATTAGTTCAAAATAGACCAGATACATGCTGCTAGGATGATCCAAGCCTGATTTACAGGATGAGATTTCAAGGATTTGGCTTGAGTACTCGTGTAAACTGAAGATTGAGAGGGGATATGATTGTTTTCTATAAACACAGGGAGGTAAACACTGAAAAGAAGGAAAAGAGCTATTTTGTATACAAAAACCATTGGCACAAAAACAAATGGGTATAATTTAGCTATAAATAAATGTAGATGGAAATAAGGAAGTTTCTAATCATCAGAGGAGTGAATTTCTGGAACAGCCTCCCAGTAGTAGTGAGGTGAAAAAACCTGTTGGTGTTAACGTGGAGCTTGATCAGTTTGTGAAAGGTGTTACATGACTTGGTGTCTGAGACAGCAACGGGCTGGACTTAATGACCCATGAGGACCCTTCTTGTTCTCTGCTCCAGTGAAAAGTAGGATCCAATTTAATATTTGGTTGAGTTACCAGTGGGTAGGTTTTACTTTGCTTAAGATTTTAGTACTGGAAAGAGCTAACAGTACAATCATAAATTAACATAACATTAATGCAGACTGCATAGTGTGTCCTGAGGAGATACTGTCCGTAATTCAGCAGACATGATGATCTTAATGTACCCAAGAAATGTACGTAAAGGGGGAAGTGAGATAAACCACAGACTTGGGAGTTAGATCTAGATTCCTTTCCAGTGCTGGCATTAACTTGTGTGGCACTGGTCATTTCACTTCATCTCTTCAGTATCTTTGTCCCCCAATATATAGAGAGAGCTACTCCTTGATTCATCTTAAGGCTCATGCCTCTGAAAGCCTTTGGGAGTCTCAGATGTGTTAGGGAAGTGCAAAGTATTAGTATAAGGATTAGTACTCATCCCAGCTCAAGACATAGGCAAACAGTCAGTCATTTAAATGAAAGATGTCATACAATTTATACAAAACATTATTTGTAAGTATGAATTGAGTTTCTTCAGCATTTCAGTTTTGTGAATAAGGTTTAAAAACATTGAATTAAGGAAAACAGCATGGAATTCATTTAAGAAATTATTCAATAAATATTATGTTTACTATCTCTAAGGCTTCTGAAGGACATGCCTGTAAGACATGCACTGTAGACCCTAGACCCAACAATCAATCACCATAACCCTTCACCACTTCTCCAGACCAGTTATTGCTTAGCTACCACAGTGCAATTTCAAAGCCTAGGCCAATGATGTGCTGAGGATCTGTATGGTACTAAATATTTTCAACTGTGCTTCAATTTACTGGGACATGAGGATTTTCAACCCCTTGCAGAAGGAGCTCTGTATCACATACACAGGCTTATAACATCTGCTTTTAAATTAAATACATTTTAATGCTTGAAGTTGCCCTTCACATGGGTACATTAGGTTCAATGCCACCCTATTGAAGGCTTGATATCGATGTCCCCTTACCAAGCAATGCCCTATTTCTCTTTCTTTCTTTTTTTTTTCCTGTTATGAGATTGCAGACAATCTGTCTTTGACAAGTGTATTGTGAGTCCTAGAAAGGCCTATACCTCAGAGATTTGTAGACAGAATATTTTTTCTTCACTTGGCTCTTGATTTAAAATAGATGAGTTGTTGTTTTTATTAGCAGTGTGTTTAGGATTACTAGTCCATTGAGGTTGGATGTATTTCAGGAACCTGTAACTCCATTATGAGAAGATACTACTAACTATTGGCTTTCTGCCTTTAGAAAGAGGCAGAAGTGTGGTCAAGTGATCTGAATATAGGACACAGAGAATCAGACTTCTGACTACATGCTCTGTCTCTGACTGATTTCTTCTTCAACTCTGGGCATGTCTCCTTCAATTTCCTCATCTGTAGAAAGTGAATAAATGATCTTACCATATTTTGTGGGGATGGGAGGAGGGAGAAATAGTTAATGATTGTATTGTGCTTTGCAGATGAAAAGCACAGTGGAACAGGATCACATTTAGCTGTATAGGTCAAATTAGGGTGCCTAATAGATAAAACAAGATCAGGCCCGATTGGCTTCATTTTCCATGTACAATTGACTCTGGTAACAGAAGGGTTGAAATGCCAAGTCTTCATTACAAGTCTGTGGTGTTTGGCCTCAAGCAAGGGTGTAAATAAGGTCCTTAAAATCTATTGACTGAACTGTCTGTGGTGACCTGAATGCTCTTGTATCCTTGCGGTGAGAACCTATGCAGTGGTGGTAAAAGATTTACTGCAAAAGCACTTACCACACAGGCAACTTTTTATTAGACATTTTTTACAGGATGAACTTATAAAAGTGGAGTCAGAATCTTGTAACAGTTACCAGTCCCTGTGCTCTTACATAGTTTCTATGATGGGTTGTTTTCTCTCTGCCTTGCGCTGTTAACTTAAATGGAGTGGTTGCAGAATCTGGTCTCTTGCCTTCCAAGCTGACATTCGGATTTGGAAGTGAACCCATATCAGCCATATCTAAAAATGGCTCAGGCTGGTGAATTAAAGAGTGGGGTTTGAAAAGGAGCTCCAAGAAGGAACTAATTGGTGCATGTGAAGTTATCCCTTCCTAGCATGGTCACTGAATTCTGTTCATTCATCCTGTCTTATTGCTCGGTGCTGCATTCATTCAGTGGACAAAGAATAAGCACAGCTTATTACCCCATTAAAAACATCAATATTCTCATTTAGATGTGCAGGGATTAAGTTTTATGTGATTAGTTCTTGTGGACATTAGTCAACAGGTTGTGGGAGATTCAATAACTCAATAGACTACTAATGGAAAGAAGCACCTTTCACCTCTAAGTTACTGTGGTAGCCCAGTTCAAAAGAAACTGAGTGCTTCATATAAGGGATATCCATTGGGGCCTGTAGAAAATGAGCCTGGTTACCTTAGTCTGATTTCTAGTGAATAGGTGCCTGGATCATGAAACCCATCACCACAGTCAGCACTAAATTGGAACTCTCAGTAGACAGAGCAAGGACTGAATTAGCTATCGAGACAGATGCTCCCCTTCAGGTCTGGGTTGGGACGAATTGGTAACATGATACAGTTCCATGCTTCACTTGCAGTGTGGACAGAAAATTTCAGAATCTAGTGGTGGTCCATTTGTAACAAGCAATAAATTCATGTCACACGCACGATGTTAATTGGAAAGCTTACGAAAATTACAATCCGGACGTGTATGCAAATTCCATACACCATTAAGATATCCTTTTTTTGCTGAGTGAGCTATGGTAGATTGTACTGTAGCTAAAATTCTTCAGCAAGAGGCCATAAATACAGTATGACATGGATAGGGACTCCAGGTCATCTGCTCTGCTATCTAAAGTATACATGAAAGCCTAGTCTTTTGGAAAGCATGTGTGTGCATAAGTGTGGTGTAGAAGTGATGTGGTGGTGTGGCTTATTATATGTGTTGGGTCTGATCCTGAGGGATGCTGAGCCCCTGCAAATACTGTACACTTCAGCACCTCTCAGCATTAAGCCCACAGTGATCACAAACAGAATATTCTGTCTGTGTAAATCACTGCAGTTTGGATTAATGTATGATTACTGCATATGGGGGGAGGCAATTTATAATGATACTGAATGGGGAAGAATTGTTTTATTCTTGCTGAGTTTCTTTTTTTTTTTTTTTTTAATATGAATGTGTCTATGTCCATGGACAGACCTCTGCTGACTGTCTCTTGTTCTATTTTTTAAAGCTGATCAGTGGTGGTTCTATTGTCAGTGCTGAGGCAGTATGGGATCACGTCACCATGGCCAACCGGGAGTTGGCATTTAAAGCAGGAGACGTTATCAAGGTCCTGGATGCTTCCAACAAGGACTGGTGGTGGGGTCAGATTGATGATGAAGAAGGATGGTTTCCCGCCAGCTTCGTAAGGGTGAGCTGTTCTCCTTTTCTTATCTTACTCTACTGGATTGTTACTGTTGGTGGTGATCTGTGGGCCTGACCCTGCATTCCTTGCTCATTAGAAACTCCTGTTGTCTTCAGGGGGAAGTTGAGTTGTGCAGTGAATGTAGGACCCAGCTTTAGAGCTTATATCCTAGGCATTTCTTCCAAAAACACAGCAAATCTCTATAGCCTCCTCACAAGTGGGGCTGGCCAGAAAACAGGAATTCTGCTTCTCAAATAAATTAGAGGTTATGAAATTTGTTTTCATTCTACATTAGGAAGACAAGACAGTCTTTAGAAATGTTTTGATGAAACCTGAAAAAAGCAGGGAAAGACAGAGCAAGAGAGAGATGCACCTTGGGGCACTGGCTTGTGATGTGGGAGACCCAGAGGGTCAGACTTTGTCCTTTTGGAGCTGTTCTGCCTTCTAGAATTCATTAAGCATTTATTGAGAGAGAGACTGACTTAAGGCAGTCGTGACATGTGGGACACCTAGGCTCAAGCCCCTAGTCTTCTTGATTAAGAACAGGGACTTACAAAAACTGTTATGTTCCCACAAACATGGTTTGGTTTTGATGAATTGTTCTTGTGTGCTTTAAAACAGAAAAGACAAAAATCTACCAGCTGTACTCAGACAGTCATCCTTTCAAAGGGACATGGAATGATCTTCCATTGTTTTCAGTCCTATACTGAAGCAGATTTTTGCTACATTCATTCAGCTCTCATGGGGACTAGAAGAACCCACTGTAGCAACACAATGCTTTTCATACATAGGAAAGCTACCAGAACCCACTTAATTTATTTATTTAGTCTTCTAAGAGCAAGAGCATGAGAGGACACCTTCTTAGCTATTGTCACTGCCTGCTGTCTTAATAAGATTGTTTCACAGGCTTCTTCAGGGAGTCAGGAGCCAGCTGCCAACTTAAACACCTCTCCTCCTCACTCTTTCTTTCTGTGATCTGATAGCAGTAATCAAGATCAAAGCAGGCACAGTCCTGCTCCTGTTATGTATGAATTGGAGGGGGATAGGGAACAAACAGGGCAATAGGATTGGCTCCCAGGGATCCTAACCATAGGGCTGCTTCTGCTAGAGCAAAGATGACACTGCTACAGCAGTAGCTGTGACAGCAGCAGCAGTAGTTTGGGGAGGTAAGCCTTCACTTCCCTTCATTATGTCCCCCTCCAGCCTCACCCTCATGTACAGTGGCTGGCATACCCCTACATTCCCCCATCCCTGCCCTAGGTACTCAGTAAGCTGGCTACACCTCTGATTGGTAGGAGTTTAGGAGACATAGTGCAGGTATGCAGAATATTTCTCCCCCATTAAGTTATCTAAAGTGGCCTTTTTCCTTTAACTTCTCAGGCAAATTTACAAGCTCATGGAAGGGGAGGCTGCTCAAATGAAACATGTGGCGAAGCCCATGCAACATCCAGAAGTTGTGCTCTGTTCCTCTGGATTAAGTCCACATTCTTGCTTTTCCTTTTCTTTTTTTTGGGGGGGGTAGGGGGTCTCAGCATCAGCAAGACTTTCTTGCATTGAACAATTGCTTCTTGGTGATCTATAGGAGGCAATGTTCAGCAACACCTGACCAATGTGCCCTTTCCCCTTCTCCCCCCGCCCTGGTCCTCACTCAGCCTTTCGATTATGGGACCTGAATGTGCTCCTGTCAGTCCTGACCAGCGCTAAGAGCTAGACCTGTAATTGGCAAGAAAACGTGGCCACCTGCATGGTCGTGTCCAGCCTGACGGCCAAACTAAATTTCCATTCCCTCATTTTGTGCAGTTCTCCTTCCAATGAAACCATTAAGAGTTCTGAAAATTGATTTTTCTGTCACTTTGTCAAAATAATGATCCAGTCTGGGAGCATATTCTCCATCTGTGCTGCAAAGAGCACCTGCAATTAGAAAGGTTGAGTTTTAAAAATCTAATTTTCTTTATTTACATGTGTTTTAACATTTCATTCAATTCGGTGAGTAAAATTAGTTTGGTAGTATTGCTTTCTCAGTCGCAGACACTAATCCTGTGCTGTTGTATGTGGGTTGCAGGGGGAAATGTTTAATTAAAGTTTTATGTAATCATGTACATGTTTTTGTTCATAGTAGGTTTTATAAACAGTCCCATCATCCACCATTCTGCCCTCTTTTAAGCATACATATACAAATCCATTTACTTTGGGCCCTGAACTCATTGATCATTTGGATCAAGCCTCTTAATAATTTAGCTGCCCCTAAATCTATTCAAATGGTAGGAAGATGACTTTAGAAAACAAAAAAGACAAAGCAGATTGGAAAAATGCATCAGATTTTGGATTCATTACAGCTTAATAAAATGGATTCACACTGCAAGTAGCCATGGTGTGCCAAGGGAAGTGGTGACCTTTAAGTGCAAGTTACTTGCAATGTCATCTAGTGTTACAGCCTCATGGCTTGACATTTCCCTACTGACATCAACTTTCCTATTACCTTCCTTGGAGGAGGATCAGTTCCTCTGATTGTGAGACACTGGTTCAATGGGCTTTGAACCCAGAGTCCCAACCTAGAAGTGAACCATGAGCAGTTGACAAGGGAGGCCAATCTTCCCTGCTGTCACCACACTCTGATAATTAAGATTTAAAGATGGATACAAGGCATTTCGAAAAGACACAAGCAGAGGACTGCCAAGGGGCAGCTCTGCAAGAGAAGCCACAGGGGAAATCCCAACATTTCAGTTTACAAAACAGAGATGTGTCTTCCCTGAAGTAAATCTAGCTGTAAGCTGCCACATGCCAAACCATCTTGCCGTTGTTTATGAACTGTGAAAACAACTGCCATTTGGGCTGTAAAGTTCCCTTCTTCTGGACTGGCTGAGGTTGCTACTAATCTCTGACTTCTTCATTTCTATTCTTGCAAATTCTTTTTTTTTTTTCTTCTTCTTTGTTTACTAAGAAAATCGTCAAGCATGTTTCTTACCAGGTGACTGCTACAACTTCAGGGGGTCATCTGGTGTAATTGCTGTACCATTTCATTAGCTTGTAGAACAAGCACTACCCTCTACAGGTTTCTGTGGGCTTGAGAGTCTACATGCACACCCATCGAGAGCCCTTAATCCAGTGCAGATTTAGTTTTTCCTGCCCCTCCATCCTCTTCCTTCACTGTGTACTGTATAGGAAACTGACTGTTTAACAGAAGGGACTATGCTTTTTCCATCTATTTCTTTTGAGCTATATATTTTCTTGGTGACTGCTGTGCTTTGTGGCCACCCAGAGCTGTTCTGATTTTACTTAGATGTAAAACATTGGTGGTTTCTTTTTATATTCTTAGTTTTAATCAAGCCATTATATGAGGGAACAAAACTATATAGTAAGCAGAGGATCAAAAGCAATATGACAAATACAAACCCAGATCACAGAGAGACAAGACTGATCAGAGTACTTAGAAACACTGTGGGAAGAATTTCATGAGGGCAATGTTTTAGAAAGAAGGAATTTCACAAGGCAGACATGGTACATGGTGTTAGTAACAGGCAGATCTTAAGGTTTGGAATTTCACTATGGGGATCGAAAATGTCGATCCTTATCAGAACCATTTTAATATTTTCTGCCCTAAAAACCCCTCTAAATCTTAATTTCCATTGACATTTCTGGTGCCTCTTGCCTCCTCTGAGACCAGGTGAACATCTCTTGTCTGCCATTGGGCAGTAGCTGGGGGAAAAAAGAAGCCAGAAATAGGAGAGGGGAAGCCCTGTACCATAGTGTGTAATAGGTAATGTTTCCTGGGGGTAACCATCCTATACTCATGGAGAAAGGATACAGCTGAATCTTTTGAAATCATTAGAAGCAGACATGCACTCCACAGTTCTTCAGATTGTTGTCTAGATAATGTGCGTGGTTTGGATCAGACTGAAATATCTACCACATAGGTAACTGCATGCTGTCAATTAAACGTCCCGGAAGAGAGTGCAGAAGTGATCTGATAGGGTGCAAGTGTCAGCCTTGTTTTAGCTGCATGCTGTCGAGAGAGCTTCACATGAACTGACTGGGATCTGACAGGGCAGGACTTAGGTGTGGAAAAGCAGGATGAATTTTAGTAGAGATTCCATAGTTTTAGAGCAGCAGTATAGCTGGCCATTGATGCCTCTTCTACACTGTAGAGGGAGGTGTTCCTTCACTTCTAGCATTGGTATAATAGCCTATGCATGAATGAGCCTGCTGCTGTATTTGCATGGTATTCCCTGGCTGGCTCCTCCACATGCCAGTATGTCCAGATCCTATTTGTGACCTCAGAAAGGTAAGGTTAATATGTGGGAAGAAACATTCAGGTACTGCAAAACTGATGATCACCATGCAATAGGCTTCCTCAAGCTCCGGACCCAAAACTTTTCTCTCTGCTCCATTGCTGAGGAGGACTCAAAACCCGAGCCACAAAAACTAGCTGTGGCCTGGTTTAAGCCCATCTTTGTTCTATATGGGCACGTCCAGATGAGCTCACATGTGCTTCTTTCAGCGTCTCAAACCCCTTTGAGCCGCTGCAAGAAAATGTTCCCCACTCTGCAAGCTTGGGTAAAGGGTGCAAGGAACTCTTGGGCTGCTTCAGCAGTCCAACTGGCACAAGAGGTAGTGTCCCCAGGTACCAATTGGCTGGGCCCCAGAAGCTCCTGAGAGCGAGTAGCCCTGAGCTACTTGACAGGCCAGCTTTTTGTATGGCAGGGGCCAAGACAGGGCAGCTTTTTATACTGCTGGGGACAGCACAGGTACTGGCCCTGGGCTCTAGCTCCCCCTGGCTGCAGATCCGGGAGGAGCCAGGCAGGGAAATTTTGCCCCAAGCGGTACAATTTGCTCCACAACAAAGCACATGTCCAAGCACGTGTGCTGAAGCAAAAAGCCATGGCTCAAATTTGCACCGCTTCTATTTGAGCTGCTGCAAGCGCACATGCTTGCATGTGTGCACGTGCCCTATGGAGTTAAGGTCCAGAGAAAACACCCTGATGCTTAGTACCATGACCCTTGCTTTT